AAGGGGAGTCTCAACAACCATCCCAAAGTACCGTTTTCGTAGAGTTTTCGGCCTTTGTTATCACCGTGATGGTTACTATGCGGTGAAAATGCATGGATGTCCGCCCCTGAGAATTCCCTTATTTTGTCTATAAAATTTAATTTCACCAATTTGAAACGACAGATTCCATAACTATATAAGATGTTTTCATTGTACGATATTCTTAGTGTATCAACGATACACCAGTGAATGAACACAATTAGATGCATCGAACCCGTACGGTGTACGTCAGTGGCGCTCCTTACGGCTTAGAGGGCGCACATTTGTATTTTCACACAGGCTGTTGCACGCACTACTGGTCTATCTGAGAATCATCATGTGCAATGACGGAAGTACGCGACAATCCAATTCACGCAATTACGCAGCTCAAGAGATCAACTCAATATTTCAATTAGTTTTTCCCAGTTTGCTGCATAAATACCCTAATTTTCAAAATAATGTTATTTAAGAATTTACAACTGAAAATTGATAGACTTATAATTAAATTTGACAAAAAATAACACATTTATGTTGGGAGTTAAATATCTAATCCCATCGTGACACACTTAGGGCATCGTAAATATAAATAATCAACTAACCATCGATATAAATGGTGTCCAAGGAATATTTATAACATATTGAAACAAACAAAGCAAAATGATAGACACGACAATTTTTGTTTTGTTTTAGTTACATTGTAAACATTGGGCGTACGCGTGTGGCTATTATGATAACCAACATAACATTTTTGAAACTTAGTCAATTATTAGCCAATGCATGCACCCAACTCAAACTATGAATCCATCTACAGTATCAAAAGTCGACATACCAATTATAATAAATCGGAAATAAAATAACTTATAAAACCATTTATTCTGTGGACTTTGTTTATTAAGTTGACAAGACTTATAACTAAATTTATTGCTACAGCTATTCACTTACGCAATGCGTTCCTCGCGATCGTCAATATTCGGAAGATGTCGGAAGTTTACGACATTGCTCGGACCAATCATGATGGACAATCATGATTCAGTTGCAAACCATGACTGAATACAATCGGCGGAGTTTCGGACAGCATCGATCGAGTGTTCTAAAAACACGATAAAACTGTTGAATTTTAAATATAATTCCTATCAAGTCGAATATATAGCGTGACTGAACGATAACTTGAAGCAAAGGTGGTAGAAAATAACTTATTTGATACATCTATGGTATAGATGAACATTTGCGTTTGGTGTTTGGTTTATTTCACCACCCCTCGATGGTGGTTGTTCTCATAAAAAAAAATATTTTTTTTAACATTTTTCCACGACACAGCGCCCTCTGTTGAGTAGTCGGCGAAACCTTTTTTGAAAAAAAAAATTCACCAGAAACATGTTGTAAATACCGAGGAATAATTACATAACCGAATTTCCAGAGTGGACAAAATCTTCCGTTTTTTTACGGTATTTCATATATGGAAACTTAACGCCGATAAGTTTGAATATGTCTTTTCAGATGTAGTATCACATCAAGTTGTGTATTAGCATATTACCGATATGTAGTCGGAGTTTAATTTACTATCGATATTAATGAATCGCAATTCACAGCAATATAACTCACCGCGTGGAATTGTAATGTTTGAGAGGTCGTTCTGCCATGAGACCCTGTTTTTTTTTATCAGTACCAGGAACGACATGATCTACTCTATGCGTGTAATTGTATATTTATACTAAGAGACCTCCGTAAATCACAAACTTCTTTTATGTAACCCAGATTACCCTAAGAAATAAATTAATAAAATCAAAAATGAAACCATGCTTCGAGAGACATTATTTACACAGTTGCTTCTATAATAAAACTAATTTATTTTGACAAGTTGTAGGGACAGTGTTATACGATCCGCACCCTATAGGGTCAACGAACTCTAACACCAATCCCTGTCTGTCTTGTCTGCCAGTGTGTAATCAAGTGACGTCAACACCGGCGTCCACACTACTTGTGTCCGTATAACAGGCGTATACGGTTGCTATTTGGAACCAGGCTCTTTACATATTTTTACTATATGGTAGCGCATATACCGCCTTTCTACAACTTCTAAATCGACTGTAATACAGTGTAACACAGTCAATGAAATGTGAGTGGCTGTCTAAACTGTGGGTTTACGTCTCGGATACTAAGCAAATACTATTCTGTTTTACAGAACGTTATGGCTGAACCAAGGGGAGCAGCTCGACCTCAACGTCAGGTAAGACGACAAACCCGTAGACGGGTGCCGAGAATGGAATCGACTCGAAAACGCCATCAGCGACAGCAATCAGGACAAGTCAGCCTGTGCGTTAAATATGGCATATTTTTTTACAATCTGGTCTTCTGGATCGTCGGTACCGCCTTGCTGGCGTTTGGAACTTGGGGCTTAGTGACGAAGGGGACCAGTGTTGACGAGATCATCGGCGGGTTCATCGACCCTATGTGGTTTATCGTCATCATCGGGGCATTCATCTTCATCATCTCGATGGCTGGCTGCATTGGCGCTCTCAGGGAAAACACATGTCTGCTAAAATTCTTTGCCATAATTCTGAGCATCATTATGCTGGCTGAGACCGCCGTAGTGGTGTTGGCTTTTGTTTACAAAGAACAAGGCAATATAATTGGTGGTTGGATCGATCGCGCCATTGTCGATTATCGGGGTAGGTTTTCTATTTTTTTTTTCCAGCTTAAAAGAAAATGGCCGTTAAGATCTCGTTGATAGTATGAGAGCCTCGAGACTTGGTTTTGTATTCCGTCATCACGTCCACTGTTCCATTGACCTGTGTAGCCGTGATATCCGGGCATTTTCTACCGCCTGGCAACCCTCGCGGTGAAAACAAAGACAAAAAACTCGCAGAAAACGGTACTTTGCGATGGTTGTTGAGAGTCCCCTGAACAGTGTAATAAGATTAGCCCTACGTGTGTAACATATATGAATTTGGTTGTTCAGGATTACTTCAAAGTTGAGTTTGTGTTGTTTTTTCATGAGTTTTCATCGGCTCCACCGGCGTTCCACAGCAGCGCGCACAAAGCCCATAGAAATACGCGGTACAGTGGTGCGCGTCTTAGCAACGTAGAACGTCCGTGACGTAGCTCCGCCCCCGAGGATACACTGATCGCTCCAATGAATCACGCCCTCTAGCGATAAATGACACCTGTGACGTGTGATGGTACAAGGATATCTGATATCTGGTTGTCCTTCAATAAATTAAAAGTACTGTTTTTTTTTTAGATTTTATATATTCTAAGTGATGATCGACTACACAACCAGATGGAGTTGTTTATTGCAACGATTTTGCTTACACCAAAGTGAGGCATCGGCGCTAGAGGGCGCGACTTTAAATATTGAAAGGGTGTATGCTTACCATTAAAGATTCGAACACTGCGATGACATATATACAACATATGACGTCATAGCTATGTTGAATATTTAGGGCATATCATCGAAGACATGTTTTGTATCAAAGTTACCATCTTTACCTTCGTTTCGAAACACCACCCGTACTGTCGTGGAATATTTTATTTCCAAATAAAATAAAATTTCGTAAAAAATACAGCCCAATGACGTCACACAAATCAACCAACTATAGCAACAATAATGTTACACTTTATGATATGATATAATTTTTTTTTTTTTTTCATTTTTCCAATGACGTAATAACAATAAAAATCACCACCATGGTAGACGACCCCGATACACAGTTCTTATTGGATCAAATGCAGATTGATTTGAAATGCTGCGGATCAACTCATCCCAATGATTGGGACAACAACCCGTAAGTAGCCAAAATTTAGTAATATAAGGATTGTAAATGCATTTTTTTAAATAATGCCGAATGACAATTTATTTAAAATACTACTCTAAATTGTTTTGTTTTTTTTCAGTTTGTAACAAATTTAGATTTTGAAACGATGATTGAGAAAATTATGACAGCAAACACCACTTAAAGCCTTGTAGTTGTTATAACGCACCATATGGGTTCTATACGATGTATACGAAAGTATCAAATACATTGTTGGAGTTTGTATACACAAAATTCGGAACACGTGTTGTGTGACTATTGTGGCTTTTTATTCGAGAAGTCAGGTGTTATTCCGCAACACAAACAGTTATGTATGAACCTGAGAAATTTAAGAATAATTTACTCGGTACATCTGTAGGGCGCCATCATAGCCAACTTCATTCTACACTTTCGTTTTTTTTTATATTTTATATGTCACAGATACTTCAATTGTTCATCTCCGGCGGTGTCCGCGTGTGGCGTGCCGTACTCGTGTTGTATAAAACCAGAGGGCGAACTCGTCAACTACCAATGTGGCTATGGACGGTTACGAGAAAAGCCAGACCACGAGTGGATAGGAGTGATCCATGTACAAGGGTGCGCAGTGTCCATCGAGCAATGGATGAACCAGAATTTGGTCATTATATGTGCTGCGATTGGTGGAATTCTCTTGGTGCAAGCGGTGTCCATTTGTTTCGTTAAAAGTCTGATTCACGACATCAGAGAAATTAAGTCTCATTGGCGTGTAGTATAGATACGCCGCGCCCTCTGTTGGCGGAATTTCTAAGACTTAACTGCAAGGGCCACTATTTCGATATTGCTTTAATCTGTGGCCAACCAAACATCAGTAAAACATGTTTTCCATAGATTTGATTATATTCTAGATGACAAACGAGTGCACAGTCAGGGTTGTCTCTTTCAGCGATATGTATTATTCGCATATACGTCATCTTGACGCCATAGCTTCGCCCCTTCACTAGATGTTTTAGCAGCGCGTCTGATTCGTTTCATCAGTTCGTGTTTTCTTTTTTCTTTTTTTACATTTATTCAATAAAATCTCAACTTGTACGTTATATATTCATAAATGTAACACTGAATTACTTTTCTGCGAAATTCATAGTCACGTGCGTATACTCTTGGTACTACATAATCGATCTACTGTTCAAAAAGCGGCATGCAATTTTAGCGAATTGTGGTAAAATGACGTAATAGCGAAATGTTGACTTAGCGAATCTCTCTTGTGATTGCTGATTTCTTTGTTTGGCCGCCATTAGCGACATCTTGAATTAGCAAATCAGTTCTCTCGCTAGATTCGCGAAAAAGACATGCTCGAGCGAAAAAGACATGTAACAGTATATGTTGAAGGAACGATTTTACCGGAGCTTGCGGAATTAATCAGTATTGTTCAGAAGCATATTAATGAAATGGTGTATTATTAGAAGAGTTTTGAAGTTCTGAAATAGATTATACCCCTATGCAATTGGACATTATACACAATTGTTCCAATAAATAGTTTATATTTTGGCAGCTTTGTTTTTAAACTTAAAATATGAGCAATGTTGAATTCGAAATTTGTATGATTTACTTTTATATGAAGGCACACAAATTGTTCTTACTGTAACAGTATTATGAAAAAAATAACTAACTTACTACTAGCTGTTGCCTGTATTATATTTTTGACTCACGTGCAGTACGATAGCAACCCACATTTAACACCATAACAACCTCCGAATAACGCAATAACAAACCATGGCCACGTGTAATAAGATAACAGCCGGCTCGTAACAACCTCAGAATAACGCAATAACAAACCATGGCCACGTGTAATAAGATAACAGCCGGCTCGTAACAACCTCCGAATAACGCAATAACAAACCATGGCCACGTGTAATAAGATGACAGCCGGCTCATAACAACCTCCGCATAACGCAATAACAAACCATGGCCACGTGTAATAAGATAACAGCCGGCTCATAACAACCTCCGCATAACGCAATAACAATTCACGTGTAACGCAATTACATGGTACATATCAAATTATTGTTACGGTAATTACTGGCATGCAAATTAGTTACTTGTTGGCGATTGACACGGTGTGTTTGATAGTGGTATACAACGCTCTTTTTTTTTTTTTATTACGGCACGCGAATGAGCGCTGTACAGCGACAGTCGCCCTCTGAAGCTCACGGTCAGCGACTTTGAATTCGAACGACAACTGACCCTTCGTTCCCGAATACATTCTCTTGTGATTTGATAATGTACGTTGATGAATAAATTAGGATGTAGTTTACCATGACCGGAAAACGTGTGTCCTGCAAGCGCGATATTTATAACTCACGGTGAACTGAATCATAATCTGATTTGTTGTACATTGTCGGAAAATAACCGAGCTTGATAACAATTTTGGATTCTGACTGAAAATTAGCCAGCCAATGAGATTGGTTTAACTTCAACTAATTGACAAGCTCGTTACAATGACCATTCAGCTCGTTTCTCTTTTCGCCAAGCATGTATACAAGCCCATATCCAGTGTAACCAGTCATGTACAAAGCCATTGAGTATTTAAGTCGCAAATGAAACGTCTCATTAGTAGTGCCATCAAAAACGTCATTTGTTGCACTTCACCTACTCTTTTCAACAATTCCCAGTACATTATTAAGTTGGAAACAACAATATTTAAGAGTGTATGTTTTCGTCCATATTGCATCTCATGTGTGGAAACAATAATTTTTTTTAATACGCATGCGTGTTTACTTTGTGGCTAAGTACAATACTAATCGCTGCATGTGAGTATCAGTATGTTTTCATTCTTCGTGGAACGAATATTATACACCGACGCTGTACTGCATAATCAATATATTTTTACACAAAGAATTTATTTTTAAGGGGTAGAGCTTACGGACGCTTTGTCCAGTAATATTTAGTAACTGCGTCTATCTTCGAAAGTATTCGGGTGGCAATCCTCTGTATTCTGTATTAACATTTTTTATTGAAGAAATGCTAACGTATTTATTGTGGCAGTCGTACTGAATTTCACCTGGTTTCACCTGGCACATTATAACACCAATTTTTGTTAAAATATTTCACATTTTCTTATTAGTTTTTACAACATACAGACGAGGTACATAGATACAGTGAATATATGTCGCGATGTATGCACCTAATCATGATGGGCGGCAAGTTTTAGAGCAAATTTTGCGCAAATGAATTGCAATTTCACCGTAATATACCTTCAATGTTTTAATGACGCTGCCTACCGGAAAGTCAATGACATGCGAGGAGAAGTTTAGACCTTGCAGTTTAATTTAAGTATGTGTATGTGGCGGTGGATTGAAAAATCGTGTTGCATTTGCCAATATCTCTATCATCATTATAGAGCTGTTCTGTATTGTCATGTAGTTGATCGTGGTGTAACCTGACATGTAGGCTTGAGTACCGCCCTCGCTGGTCGAACGGCATTAGACCCCACCCAACTATGTTGGATTTGGAGCACCGCGGAGGGCGCAACTCACACGTTCTTGTCAGGCTAATCATGGTGTTGATACAGAGCTCAGATGGTTTAGACATGAAGTCGATCGTATGGTGGCGCTGTTGCAGATTCATTTGGCAGTCGTTACCATGTCCTCATACTCTTTCCCATAGTTCCTTGCGGTTAGAACACAAAGGACATATTCGTAGAAATAGGACTCTGCGTGGGAGATTGCCGTGTCCTGTATTTGAATAATTTATTAGTCATCAGTGTTGCATAGAAATGCACACTGAATGAGATATGAATTATTAATAATAAAATTAATTGACAAAAATCATCACGCTATTTAACTTTAATTATACACGCCAACCAAAATAGACTACAGGTACACTGTATCGCAATATCGGTCATATACTGTAAAATGACTAATTTTCACTGGGTTTAAATTTCACTGATTTACCATTTCAGGCATATTCAGTGGGTTTTAAATTCACGGTTTCGTCATTTAGATAATGTGTTCTATGCTAAATTGTACATATTCACTGTGTTTTAATTTAGCGCATTTTTCCAGTCAGCGAAATAAGCTAAATTAAAACCCAGTGAATAATTACCCCCTTTACAGTATCATCTGCGAGGTTTCGGTGTGCATGCGTGTTATAATGTTAGAATTGAATGACAATTTAGTGACTATTTAACATTTTGACTAGCTTTGAGCTGAACACAAATGTTTGATCGAATAGCGTACGCAAAATTGGGGCACACAAATAGATCTAAGACGCGAATGGCGACTGAAGCATGGTCTCGTACGCCGGGGGCGAGAGATCACGAGACATGTTTTTTGACACTAAAACATTCTACTGAATTCCGTGTATTTTAAACGCGGTGTACGCGTCGCCTGAAACCCATAATAAAACACATCGCGTCGCGACGTTTGGGGAATATTAAATATACCTGGAGAGACAATTACAAATGTAAATTTCTATAGACCAATTATTTGATATGTGACAGTTTTATTACTTGTTAATTATAAAAGTGAAATATACAGACTATACAGATTAATTAATTAATACATTTGTGTGATTAATGTGTCATTGCCACACCCACTTGGGTTTTGACGAATATACATCGTAATTTTACCGTCCGCGGAATATGCATGGTATCACCACAATTGAAATGTTCTCACCAAATATACCTGAACTGGCTACCTGTATCGAGCAGCCTCGGATGAACCGTAATCGTACCCGTAGTATTTTGTCATAAGAAGACGTATGTATACATTAAGGTGGGGGAGTGGTCACATGCGCATGCGTCAGATGGCCATAGCGCGTCATTGTTTACAAACATGAACAAGCGTCTGCCCACGAGCCTTTGCGTTTTTAACTTGCGTTGTTATCGTCACTTAGGACCCAATTCCCGCGCGCATGCGCAGTTGACGACCCTTCCGCTTCAAGATATAGTTGTAAGGATAATTGACGGCGAATTTCGTTGTCAAACTAGGAATACTATAGCACTAAAAATCACTGCAACAATGGACAGTATCCCATCACTATTCAACGGCAAACCACTTCCAGATGTATTCGAGGGATCGAAGTCGAAGCAACCACCTGACTCAGAAGAGGTCACCAAAAACCTTCTGTCTTCGCAGAATGCCGTCCCGTTCGAATTTAAATCTCCGATCGGAGTCTCCTCTAAACTTGCATTCTGACAGGCCGTAAATAGGTTATTGCAGAAATTCTCGCAAACTGTGAGCCTTTGTAACGCGTAGAAGTAGTGTTGTCTAGGTGAACACACCCAGCACATTAGATAATTGATCCATTTAAGGCATTCGTCGCTGGCTCCCTGTGGCGCTGTTATGCCAAATAGAACGTCAATCTCCCCCTGGGTACAGCAGGAATATTCCTTGTACCACGTGCAGTTAAGTAAATTGGGCTGGCGTGTGGGTAAACGGTTGTCAAAGTACGGGCAATAATCTATGTGTTCTGTAGCGATTCGGTTATTGGAGCTTCCAGTCACATACTCACCGCACACCAGAAATCGTATACTGATTGTCACTAAAATGTTCACTAAGTTGACCATCATTTTCTTAGCATATAACGTCCTGACAATTCATACTCCTAAAACATTGTAGTATCTCTAACATTTTTCATCCTGATCGAACCGTCGAGCAATCCACGTGTTAGTGGCATTGATGACATAATCGTACGAGCAATTTTCATGTAATCTACCAGTTCCCGCCGTACCATCAAACTCTACCTTTAGATACACCCGTGTCATATACACTCATTGGATAGAATATCTTTCTGCAAAATAAAGAAAAAAAAATACAAATAAC